CAAGAGCAAGAAGAGAGGACTCAGGAGGAGACGGCAGAGGGACACGCTTTGGAGCAGTGGAGGGACGGAGAGACATCCGGTGTGTGCCAGGGACTAGTGGCGGACGCTCACGCTGAGTACGGCGACTGGTGGAAGTAGTACGAACAGGCGACTCAGGACTGGACACAGGCGACACAGGGCGAGACTCAGGCTGACGACGCTCTGTGAGGCCGGCTGTAGGACCAGTGTAAGGAGAAGGACTAGGAAGTGGCGAGGCACGCGGTAGCTGTGACTGCGACTGGACCGGCGGTGGACACTCTACAGAGGGAGGGAGACAAGGCGGAGGTGACTGACCAAGAACCTGCTGAAGGAGTGGAACAAAGTACGGCCGCGGCCGTGAGGTGCCCCCTGCAGCAGCAGAGACAGCACCAGAAACTCCCGCAGCTCCAGCAGCACCCCCAGAACCTCCAACGCCCGGGTCTGCAGCACCAGCAGCAGCTCCAACGCCCGGGTCCGCAGCACCAGTAGCAGCTCCAACACCCGGATCTGCAGCACCAGCAGCAGCTCCAACGCCTGGGTCAGCAGCACCAGCAGCAGCTCCAACGCCCGGGTCTGCAGCACCAGCAGCAGCTCCAACGCCCGGGTCCGCAGCACCAGCAGCAGCTCCAACGCCCGGGTCCGCAGCACCAGCAGCAGCTCCAACGCCAGGGTCTGCAGCACCAGCAGCAGCTCCAACGCCACTAGGAGCGCCACTCCTGAGACTGCAGCGACGTGGGTACCACTCTCGAAGACGCTGGGGAGAGGGCAGCTCGTGCCTAGGTGAGGAAGCACGAGCACCAGCTCCAGTAGTACCCCTAGCTCCAGAAGCACCTCTCCTGAGGCTGCAACAGTAAGTACCACTCACGCAGCTGCTGTGAGGAGAGAGCTCTTCCAGGCGTAGCACTCTCAGGCTCAGCACCCCCTGACTCAGCACCCCCAGACTCAGCACAAGCAGGCTCCGCACTCCCAGGCTCAACACCCCCAGGCTCACGACCCCCAGGCTCAGGACCCCCAGACTCTGCACCACCAGTCTCAGCAACCCCGGGCTCCGCACGCTCAGGCTCAGCACCCCGAGCAGGACGAGAGTCAACAACTACCTCGACAGGCTCAACCGGGTCTACCTGGGACACACCTGAGGGAGCGGCACCCTGAGGGGGGAGGGGGTCTACTTCAGCAGCACCTGGCGCGAGGAAGAGAGGCGGGGGAGGGAGCGGGGCAGTGCGGTAGGGGAAGAGTCGGTAGAACGGTACCGACTCGTCAAAGGTGACGTCCTGAGAGGCGAGGACACGGCGCGAGGCTGCGTGGTAAAACTGCCAACCAGACGCGTCCGGGACAAAGCCGAGGAAGACACAGGGAACAGCACGGGAGGAGAGCTTGTCCGCTGACGTATCGCGGACAAAAGCCCGAGATCCCCAGACCCGAAAACGCGACGCGTCGCCAACCTCTCCCATCCAACGCAGTGTCGGGGAAGTCTCCGGCAAGGAGACCCGGGGCCAGAGGTTGAGCTGATGCGCAGCGTATCGGACTGCAAACGGCCACAGAAAGTGGGGGGCAGCCGCATGGATGGTGGGAGGGGAGGGAGAACCCTGGGAAGACCAGAGACAAGGTACCGCTTGTGCATTGCCCAAAGGCGTTGCACGGACGGGTGACCAAGGCGGTGGTGCCACAGGACCGTCTCGTACGCCAGAGAGCGGCACGAGCAGGGGGCAGATAGCTGACCTGACGCAGACGTAGACGCAGACGCAGCTACCTGAGGGGACTCAGTAGTCAGTGTGTACAGGTCCGACCCCGGCTGCCGTGTAAAGGTAGCCAGGTGACGGCCCGTCCGAGCACACGTGCAGTGTGTCACGCGCTCGTAGGCAGGGGTGAACTGATGGACACCCCTGTCCTGGAGCGCACTACCCGCCACCAAGTTTGTAGAGAACGAGGGGAGGTAGAGACCGGACAGTGTGCCCGACGGGACGGCCGGACAAGGGAGAACAGTGGAGGAGGTCGCAAGGACTGGACCCCCAGAGGGGTCAGCGAGAGAGACTGCAACGGGCCGAGCAAGCTGCTCAAGGGGGGTGCGGTCACGAAAGAAATAGCGGGAAGCACCTGAGTCCACTGTAAAGGTAAGCAGTGCCTCAGTCGACTCAGTACCAGTGGACGCAGACGCACCAGCACCTAGAGCAGCAGCCTCACCAGCACCTGGGGTAGCAGACACTCTAGCACCTAGAGCGGTAGCATCACCAGGTCGAATGCCCGGATCGGGCGGAACACTCAGGTACTGGGCACCCTCTCCACTAATAGACATCACATACATGGCAGAGAGAATGGCATCAAAGTCTAGCGCAAAGATATCAATGTTTTGTTTCATCAGATCAGCCCAGCGGGGCAGCTCAGTGGCGTCAGGGAACTGAGTACGCCAAGCGTCGTCAAGGCGGGAGAAGCAGCGCCGCGTGGGGTGCGCCCTCCCACACGTCTGACCAGTGCGGTCACCAGTGCGGATGACGTACGTGCAGCTAAGGCCACCACCCCCCCCCTGCCGAGTGTACCACTCACGGAGTTCCTGGGGCGACGGAGAATGCTGTAGGCTCTGGCCACCACCAGTGCCTCCACGACCACCACCGCCGCCACCACTGCCTCGACCACCTCCTCCCCTGCCGCCGCCTTGTCCACCGCCACTCCCGCCCCTGCCACCGCCCCCGCCGTTGCCACCACCACCCCAACCACTGCCACTAGCACCCCCAGCCCCGCCACCACCCCCACCGCCACCACCACCCCCACCACTGCCTCCCCCGCCGTCACCTCCGCCGCCCTTGCCCCCTTTTCCCTTGCCGCTGCGGCGCTCGCTCGAAGCAGACGCAGCCCCGACCTTCTCAGCACCAAGGAGGTCGACAGCGGAAGCAGAGGCGACAGAGGGAAGAAGAGGGGGAGGGGAACACCCCTCAAAGAAAGGGGTGCGGGGGTTGCCACGAGAGGCACCTACAGCGACGATGCTAGCCTCAGCTGCAAGCAGTTCCTTCTCGAGGAGGGCAATGGTGAGCTCAGTGGGGCAGCAAGCTAGGAAGTGGTCTCTGACAGCACGCAGAGTGTCAGGGAGGCGGGTGACTAGGTGGTAGAGAGTGAGCCAGAGCGGGGGGGGGTTGGTGGCAAGAAACTCGTCGGGCATGGCGGCACGAAAGCGGGCCTCACTAGTACGGAGGTGCGTGATGAGGTCAGCGACTGTGTGGAACGAGGCTAGGTCGGGAAACAAGTAGGGGAGTGAGAGACGGCCTAGCGCAGCAGAGGCAGGTGAGGAGTAGCGGGCAACGACAGCAGTGTACAGTGCCTGTGCAGTCTTGTGCTGTCCAAAGTGCTCGCGCTCGTCTATCGGCAGGAAGTTGCGAATAGCGAAGCGAGCGTGGGCGTCACGAGTCTGCCACTGTGAGCGGGCAGTGCTGTCAGCAGTAGCAGTAGGAGCAGTAGCATGGCCTAGGGCATGATCGTACAGTGAAATGTCCTCCTTGGCAGTGAGCTGTAGGAAGAGGTGTAGGTCATCTAGCCAGGTATCGAACTTCACTGGGCGGCCCTCAGCATCGAAAGCTAGCACAGGAGGGCTAGCCATAGCAGTAATAGGAGCAGTAGTAGCAGTAATAGCAGTAGTAGCACCCTGAAAACAGTAGGCAGTGAGTCAGGTAGGGCGGCTCGGTCCAGGACGGGCGGCGCGGCTCGGTTGAGGTAGGGCGGCTCGGCTCGGTTCAGGTGGGGCGGCTCGGTTCGGGCTGGGCGGCTCGGCTCAGGCGGCTCGTTTCGGGTCCGGCGGCTTGGTTTGGGCTGGGCTGCTAGTTCTGGTGGGGCCGATGGCGTCGCGACGAGGTGCTAAAGGGGGGGGGGGGGGGGGGGGGGGGGGGGGCGGGCGCACGGGTCGACGGGGTCAGCTGGGGGCCGCTAAGGGGCGGCGTTCGGGGTCGACGGGGCCAGCGGGGCCACTAAGGGGCGGTCGCCCGGGTCGACGGGGCCAGTGGGGCTGCTAAGGGGCGGGCGCTCGTGGTCGACGGGGCCAGCTGAGGTCGCTAAGGGGCGGGCGTACGGGGTCGACGGGGCCAGCAGGGCCGCTAAGGAGGCGGGCGCACGGGTCGACGGGGCCAGCGGGGCCGCTAAGGAGGCGGGCGTACGGGGTCGACGGGGCCAGCGGGGCCACTAAGGGGCGGGCGCACGGGTCGACGGGGCCAGCGGGGCCGCTAAGGAGGCGGGCGCACGGGGTCGACGGGGCCAGAGGGGCCGCTAAGGAGGCGGGCGCACGGGTCGACGGGGCCCGCTAAGGGACGGCACGAGGGGCTGAAGGGGCCTCTAAGTGAGGTCGACGGGCCGATGGGGCCTCTAAGGGGCGGCGCACGAGGGCACATTGGGAGTAAGGCGCACGAGGGCTCTAGAGAGGACGGCGCACGAGGGCGCTCCGAGCGGAAATGGTGGGCCCTTAGGAACGGTCCTAGGTTCCTAGCCTAGGCTCGTAATACCATATCAGAATGAAAGAGGAATGGTTGCACTATGAGAGTTGGAGTACAAATAGCAAACCCTAACTTTGTGTACCCCCTAAAGGCTAACCCACTACAGCCTACACAATAACAACACATATAATGTTTGACACGGCACTGCCCTTCCCAGCCCCGGCCCAGCCTCTGCTGGCCCCATCGCCCGCCCTTCCCGGCCCCGGCCCCGCCTTCACGCGGCCCCGCCGGGCTACTGCCGAGCCGCCAGCGCCACCCGAGCCGCCCGAGCCGCCGAGCCGCCCGAGCCGCCGAGCCGCCCAAGCCGCCCGAGCCACCCAGCCGCCCAAGCCGCCCGAGCCGCCCAGCCGCCCGAGCCGCCTGAGCCGGAGTTGCCGCCGAGCCGCCCGAGCCGCCCGAGCCGCCGAGTCGCCGAGCCGCCGAGCCGCCCGAACCGCCCTGTCCGGTAAGAGCAGCGCCTCTGTCACTGCACTGCCCTTACCCCACTGTTCGCGCTATTAGTCTACTGCTGTCATGGCTACCCCTATTTTCCTCGCTTTTGACGCTGAGGGTCGGGCCATTGACTTTGACGTCTGGGTAGATGACCTACAGCTTTTCCTACAGTGCGATAGGGCAAACGGACTCTCCCTCATTGACCTCACCTCTGGTGCCTCGCCTGCCCCTGCTGCTGATGCTGACGCCACTGTTCGCTCACAGTGGGCCACACGCGATGCTGCTGCACGTCTTGCTGTGCGTCGCCACCTGCCTACCTCTGAGCGTGCGCACTTTAGTCAGTACAAGAGTGCTCAGACCTTGTACGACGCTGTAGTTGCACGCTACTCTTCTCCTGCCACTGCTGCACTGAGCCTCCTCATGCTACCGTACCTCTTCCCTGACCTTGCTGCCTTTCCCACAGTCACTCACCTCATTACGCACCTCCGCACTAGTGACACTCGCTACCGCGCTGCACTTCCTGCTGAGTTCTGCGCCAAGAACCCCCCCCCCCCATGTACATCACCCTCTACTACATAGTCACCCGCCTCACTAACTCCCTTCGCGTAGTCAGGGACCACTTCCTCTCAGTTTGCCCCACCACTCTCACCGTTGACCTCCTCGAGAAGGCCCTCCTAGCAACACAGAAGAGCATAGTAGCTGTAGGAGCCTCTCGTGGTGACTCTCGCACACCCATCTTTGAGGGGTGTTCCCCCTCTCCCCTTTTGCCCTCTGTTGCCTTTGCTGCTGCGGCCGACCTCATTGGGCTTGAGTCGGTCGGTGCGGCGTCTACCCCTAGCGGGAGACGCCGCCCTGGCAAGGGCAAGGGGGGCAGGGGCGGTGGAGGAGCTAGCGGGGGCGGTGGAGGAGGTGGTGGAGGCGGTGGAGGGGGTGGGGGTGGCGGTGGGGGTGGTGGCGAGGGTGGAGGTGTCGGTGGCGGCAGTGGAGGCGGAGGCGGCGATGGCGATGGCGGTGGGAGCGGAGGTGGCGGAGGTGGCGGCGGTGGAGGAGGCGGTGGCGGTGGCGGTGGAGGTGGAGCTGGTCGGGGTGGCGCTGCGCAGAGGGTCCGCTCTGGTGGTGGTCAGCGCCAGCAGCATCAGCAGCAGCAGCGCACTCGTGACATCCCCCCCCCCCCTCAGCAGCTCCGTGAGTGGTACGCTGCACGCCAGCGGGGTGCGGGTACTGGTCCGTGCACCTACGTCCTACGCACCGGCGACCGCGCAGGTGAGCAGTGCGGGGGTGCGCACTCCAACCAGCGCTGCTTTGGCCGCCTGACGGACGCTTGGCGTCACCAGTTCCCGGAGGCCATTGAGATCCCCCGCTAGGGCAAGCTTTCTAGGGCGGGAGTAGCTGTCTTTGACCTTGACTTTGATGCTATTCTTGCTGCCATGTATGCTGTGACTATTCATGATGAGGGTGACTGTTACCGGTGTTTTCCGCCTGACCCGGGCATTGAGACTGCTACTCTAGGTACTGGTGAGGCTGCTGCTCTAGGTGCTAGCGAGGCTGCTGCTCTAGGTGCTCGTGCGTCTACTCCCTCAGGAGCTGGTGAGTCTGCTCTCTCAGATACTGCGTCGGCTTCGGCCTCCCACACCTTCAGCCTTGAATCGGGGGCTTCTCGCTCCTTCTTTCGAGACCGCACCACACTCACGCCGCTTGGCTGGCCAGTTGCAGTCTCTCTGGCAGACCCCTCTGGGGGTCCTATCCTTGCTCACTACTCCACTGTCCTCCCGTGTCCGACGGCCCCCTCTGGCACCCTGTCTGGTCTTTACCTCCCCTCGTTCTCTACGAACTTGGTGAGTGGTGCTGACCTACAGGATGCGGGGGTTCACCAGTTCACTCCTGCGAGTCAGCGGGTGACCCACTGCACGGACGCTCAGACAGGCCGACACCTGGCCACGTTTACACGTCGGTCGGGGTCGAGCGTGTACACACTGACCACCGCGTCTCCTCCAGTCATTGCGTCTGGTCAGGTAGCAGCGTCGGGTCAGGTGTTTGCTGCAGCGTCCAGGTCTGGTCCTGAGTCTGCCCCCTGCTCGTGTCGCCTCTTGTCTCACGAGACTCTCCTCTGGCACCACCGCCTTGGTCACCCCTCCCTGCTTCGTCTCCGAGGCATGGCCTCCCGTGTCCTTGTCTCTGGTCTTCCCCGGTCCCTCCCTCCCCTTCCTCTTGGGCCCGGCCCTACCTGGGTCCCCTGTGTCGAGGGGCGGCAGCGGGCTGCCCCTCACTCCTCCCAGTTTCTTCCAACAGAGGCCCCGCTGCAGACGCTTCACATGGACGTGTGGGGCCCGGCCCGCGTCCGTGGACAGGGTCACGAGCGCTACTTCCTGCTGGTGGTTGACGACTACTCGCGTTACACCACAGTCTTCCCCTTGCGCAGCAAGGGTGATGTTACTGCGGTGTTGATTGACTGGATCCGCGCAGCTTGTCTCCAGCTCAGGAGGAGCTTCGGCACGGACTTTCCTGTTCTGCGCCTGCACTCTGACAGAGGCGGAGAGTTCTCCTCTGGCCTTCTGCGAGCCTACTGTCGTGCACGAGGCATCCGCCAGACCTTCACTCTTTCGGACTCTCCACAGCAAAATGGGATTCCTGAGCGCCGCATTGGCATGGTCATGGATGTCGCTCGTACGTCCATGATGCATGCGGCTGCCCCCCATTTTCTGTGGCCGTTTGCGGTTCGGTACGCGGCGCATCAGATCAACCTTCACCCCAGGGTCTCCATGCCGGAGACCTCCCCAGCTTTGCTGTGGACGGGGAAGGTTGGCGATGCGTCTGCGTTCTGTGTCTGGGGATCTCGGGCGTTTGTTCGCGACATGTCTGCGGACAAGCTGTCCCCTCGTGCTGCTCCTTGCGTCTTCCTTGGCTTCCCCCCTGACGCGCCAGGATGGCAGTTCTACCACCCCACCTCTCGCCGTGTTCTGTCCTCCCAGGACGTCACGTTTGAGAAGTCGGTCCCCTACTACCGCCTCTTCCCCTACCGCACTCCGTCCCTCCCCCCGCCACCGCTCTTCCTTGTACCAGGTCCCCCCCCGATAGACCCCCTCCCCCCTAAGGGTCCTGCCCCTTCAGGTGTGTCCCAAGTACATGCAGTCAAGCCTGTCGAGGTTACTGGTGACTCTGGTGCTACCGAGGGTGCTGAGCCTGGGGGTGCTGACTCTGGGGGTGCTGAGCGTGTGGGTGCTGCGCCTGGGGGTGCTGAGCCTGGGGGTGCTGCGATTGGGGGTGCTGAGCCTGGGGGTGCTGAGCCTGGGGGTGCTGAGCCTGGGGGTGCTGCGACTGGGGGTGCTGAGCCTAGGGGTGCTGAGCCTGGGGGTGCTACGCCAGGGGGTCCTGAGCGTGGGGGTGCTACGCCTGGAGGTGCTGAGTCTGGAGGTACGGAGCTTGAGGGAGTTGGGCCTACTCGTGTGGCGTCTGGCGGTGCTGGGCCTGGAGGTTCTCCGGGTGCTTCGTCTCGACAGGAGCCCCTCTCTCCACAGGAGCTGCGTGAGTGGTTTGCCCGGCGCTGGAGGCGTGCTGCTGGAGCTGGAGGTTCTCCGGCTGCTGAGGGTGCTGGTGCCGCGGGTCCCGGAGGTGCTCGTGCTGGGAGTACTGGAGCTCCTTGGCCTGCGGGTACGAGTGGAGCTGGAGCTACTGAGGGTGTTGACGCTGAGACTACTGCTGTCGGTCCTGGAGGCGGTCCTGCTGGGGGTACTACTGGTGCTGCTGGAGGTACTGGAGCTGGAGGTGCTCCTGGCGCTGGTGCTGCCGCTGGGGGTGCTGGTGTTGTCCCTGCTGTGTCTGAAGTCGCCGCGCGGCCTCGGCCGTACTTCGTTGCGCTCCTTCAGCAGGTTCTTGGTCTCCAGCCTTCTACTCGTCCTCCTCCTCCCTTAGCGTGTCCACAGCCTGTCCCGTCACGGTTACAGTTATAGCCGTCCTCCCCACTGCCTGCTCCTTCTCCCTACACTGGTCCTACTGAAGGTCTTACTGAGCGTCGTGAGCCTGCGTCTCGCCCTGCGTCGCCTGTCCGTGCTGCTCGCACTAGTGGTCGTGGTTTGCGTCAGCGCCCTCCTCCTGTCCCTGGCACGCACCGGATGTCTCTGCGTCCATCCACTGCTCCTCTGCGTTCCCCTTTGCCTTCTCCTCCTGAGTCCTCTCTTCCTACTCTTGCCGACCCGAACTCGGACTCTCTTCGTGCAGCCAGTCCTACGGTCACGCGTCTCCTTGCTACTGTCCTCAGTGACCCTTCCTTTGAGTCCACTGCTGCGTTTGCCCTAGTTGCTGAGCTCGTCGACTTTGCTGCTCTCTGTCGTCTAGACTACGCTGCTAGTCTTGTCGCTGAGTCTGAGTCTGTCTGTCCTCCGTCCATCGGGGGTGAGTGTGCCCTTGGCACGGACGTCCTTGAGGACAGGCAGGAGGAGTTCTAGTGTCTGGCTGCTGCTTCACCTCATCTCGTGTCCATACTGCTTACCCCTGAGGGAGACCCGGATGCACTTGACATCCCGACTCCGCGCTCTTACGCGGAGGCGATAGAGGGTCCCTACTCCTCTCAGTGGCAGGCAGCTATGGACGCAGAGATGGCTTCCTGGAAGTCCACAGGCACCTACGTTGACGAGGTTCCCCCGCCTGGGGCGAACATCGTCAGTGGCACGTGGATTTTCAGGGTGAAGCGGCCGCCGGGTTCTCCGCCTGTCTTCAAGGCGCGTTACGTGGCTCGTGGCTTCAGTCAGCGGCAGGGAGTTGACTACTTTCAGACCTTCTCTCCCACCCCGAAGATGACCACTCTTCGGGTACTACTGCACATAGCTGCTCACCGTGACTACGAGCTTTACTCTCTTGACTTCAGCACAGCTTTCCTGCAGGGCAGCCTGCACAAGGAGATCTGGCTGCGCCGCCCACCTGGCTTTACTGGGTCTTTTCCTCCTGGCACCCGGTGGAGCCTCCGGCGGCCAGTCTACGATCTCCGCTAGGTACCGCGTGAGTGGCACGACACACTGAGGACTACACTTGCGGCTCTTGGGTTTGCTCCTTCTACTGCCGACCCGTCGCTGTTTCTGCGCACCGACACTTCTTTGCCGCCGTTTTACATCCTCGTGTACGTCGACGACTTGGTCTTTGCCACAGCTGACACTGGTGGACTTGCCCACGTGAAGTCCGAGCTGCAGAAGAGACACATGTGCACAGACATGGGTGAACTGCGCAGCTACCTTGGCTTGCAGATCACCCGGGACAGAGCACGCCGCACCATTACCCTAACTTAGTCACACATGGTGCAGCAGGTCCTTGAGCGCTTCGGCTTCACGTACTCCTTGCCTCAGGCCACTCCTCTGCCTACGCGCCACTCGCTCTCAGCTTTGCCTTTGAATGAGTCCGTAGAGTCGAGTGGCCCGTACCTAGAGCTTGTTGGCTGCCTCATGTACCTGATGACCTGCACTCGACTTGACCTTGCATACCCTCTTAGCATTCTCGCACGCTATGTTGCTCCTGGGAGACATAGACCGGAGCATATGGCTGCAGCGAAGAGGGTGTCGCGCTACTTGTGCAGTACGTCGGGCATGGGGCTTGTGCTTGGAGGGCAGAGTCCAGTGGTCCTCACTGGTCACGCAGACGCTTCTTGGGCTGACGACCAGGCTACGCAGCGGTCGTCACAGGGTTACACCTTCAGCCTTGGTTCCGGCTCTGTTTCGTGGCGCGCTACTCGCTCGTCTTCTGTTCTCGGCTCCAGTTGTGAGGCTGAGATCTACGCCGGGGCCATGGCTGCACAGGAGCTTCGCTGGCTCACCTACCTGCTAATTGACCTCGGAGAGCCGCCTCGTTCTCCTCCAGTGCTGTACGTAGACAACAAGGCCATGCTGGCCTTGTGTCGAGAGCAGAGACTGGAGCACAGAACGAAGCACATTGCTCTCCGCTACTTCCTTGCTCGTGAGCTGCAGCAGCGTGGTCAGCTGCGTCTTGCGTACGTGGCCTCTAAGGCCAACACTGCTGATATCTTCACCAAGGCGCTTGCGCCTTGTGATCATTAGCGTTTCTGTACTCAGCTGGGTCTTGTGCCTGCCTTGCCTCACTTGCTCACCTCTTGACCTTGCTTGTACTGTTACATATATATATACACCTGCTCTTGCATGTCTAGCCTTTTATATATATATGTACTCCTGCATGTGAACTGGCCTTGTGGCCTTGAACTTGTGCTCGGAATGTGTGGTGACTTTGTGATCCACCCTGAGCTTGCTTTACTTTGCTTTGCTTGACTGGTCTTGTGACCCCTTGTACTCCCCCACTTTGCCTATGGGGGTGTGTCAGAACATTATAGCTTATGCTTTTGTGTAGGCTGTAGTGGGGTAGCCCATATGGGGTACAACCCAATTAGGGTTAGTACTTGTACCCATCTCTTTCATACTGCATTCATTCTCGTTCTTGTTTTCTCAGCAAATCGACGTCGCTAACGCATTCCTCTATGCACTTGTTGACACAGAGATCTTCGTCGAGCTACCACACGGCTCCAGCACGGACTCGAACCATGTCTGTCAACTACTCAAGTCGCTCTACGGCATCAAGCAAGCTCCGCGATTATGGCAACAATACCTACACGCTCGCCTCATTCGCATTGACTTCAAGCAATTGCCGCACGACCAAGGCATGTCCCGGCTCACGAAGGGTACCGACTACATCCTGCTAATCGTCTATGTAGACGATCTGCTCTACATCGGCTCAACTGACGGCATTACAACCTGGTTTGAAGGGGAGCTACAGCAAGACCTCATACTCACGGTCTCATCTACCGTCACACAGTACCTTGGCCTCAACATCCGGGAAGAGGAAGACGCTATCCACCTCAGCGCCGCGAAATACGCCGACACTATCGCCAAGCGTTTCGCACTCACACTGACTGCTATCTCCACACCGTACTGCTACACGACAGCAAGCAACAAGGAAGGCTCCGCTCTATTCAAGCCCGCCGGCATACGCGACTACCAGAGAAAGCTGTGCTGCCTTCTCTTCGGAAGTGTCACCTGCCGCCCAGATCTATCCTACTCTGCAAGCCAGCTCGCCACCTACCTCAAGAAGCCTGAAGCGGAACATCTGGCGGAGCACGACCGCGCTCTTCACTACCTTGTCAGTACCCCGACGGTCGGCTTGACTTACCATAAGAACGCAACTACAACGACTAAGCTAATCGGTTACGTCGTCGCAGATCACGCAGGCGACTCCGACAATAGACGATCGCGCACCGGCTACATCTACCGCCTCGAACCTATCGGACCTATCTCCTCGCAATCGAGCAAGCAGGAACTAATTGCTCTCTCGTCAGCTGAAGCAGAATATATTGCACTCTGCTCAGCCACCAAGGAAGGACTCTATCTTCGCGAGCTGCTGGAAGAAGCGAAGCTAGCCGAGTTACCCAACTTTACAACCAGTCGGCAATTCGCATCGCCAACAAGAACGGCTTCGCGAACAGGACGAAACACATCGCCCTGCAATATTTCTTCGTGAAGGACGAGATCGAGAAGGGAAGGCTCGAGCTGTCATACTGCCCCACGTCCGAGATGGCAGCTGACTACCTGACCAAAAGGCAGAAGTTCGAATACTGCATGTGAGAGAAGTTGAACGAGAATGGGGAATGACTAAGTGAAAGTTGGGCACAAATACAAACCCTAGAAAGCTGTACCCCATATGTGCTACCCCACTATAGCCTACAATAGCTATGTCATATATATCTGACACACCCCCATAGGCAAAGTGGGGGAGAACAAGGGGTCACAAGACCAGTCAAGCAAAGCAAAGCAAAGCAAGCTCAGGGTGGATCACAAAGTCACCACACAGTCCGAGCACAAGGTCAAGGCCACAAGGCCAGTTCACATGCAGGAGTGCAGAAATATATATAACACTAAACAAGCAAGAGCAGGTATATATATATGCAAGAGTACAAGTAAGATCAAGAGGTGAGCAAGTGAGGTAAGACAGGTACAAGTCCCAGCTGAGTGCAGAAGCGCTGATGATCACAAGGCGGAAGTGTCTTGGTGAAAACATCAGCAGTGTTGGCCTTAGAGGCCACGTACGCAAGTCGCAACTGACCACGCTGCTGCAGCTCACGAGCAAGAAAGTAGCGGAGAGCAATGTGCTTCGTTCTGTGCTCCAAGCGCTGCTCTCGACACAAGGCCAGCATGGCCTTGTTGTCTACGTACAGCACTGGAGGAGAACGAGGCGGCTCTCCAAGGTCAGTTAGCAGGTAGGTGAGCCGGCGAAGCTCCTGAGCAGCCATGGCCCCGGCGTAGATCTCAGCCTCACAACTGGAGCAGAGAACAGAAGACGAGCGAGTAGCCCGCCACGAAACAGAGCCGGAACCAAGACTGAAGGTGTAACCCTGTGACGACCGCTGAGTAGCCTGGTCGTCAGCCCAAGAAGCGTCCGCGTGCCCAGTGAGGACCACTGGACTCCGCCCTCCAAGCACTAGCCCCATGCCCGACGTACTGCACAAGTAGCGCAACACCCTCTTCGCTACAGCCATGTGCTCTGGTCGGTGTCTCCCAGGAGCAACATAGCGTGCAAGAATGCTCAGAGGGTATGCAAGGTCAGGTCGTATGCAGGTCATCAGGTACATGAGGCAGCCAACAAGCTCTGGGTACGGGCCACTTGACTCTACGGACTCATCCGAAGGCAGAGCTGAGAGCGAGTGGCGAGTAGACAGAGGAGTGGCTTGAGGCGAGGAGTACGTGAAGCCGAAGCGCTGAAGGACCTGCTGCACCATGTGTGACTGAGTTAAGGTAATGGTGCGTCGTGCTCTGTCCCGAGTGATCTGCAAGCCAAGGTAGCTGCGCAGTTCACCCAGGTCTGTGCACGTGTGTCTCTTCTGCAGCTCGGACTTCACATAGGCGAGCCCAGCAGTGTCCGCTGTGGCAAAGACCAAGTCGTCAACGTACACGAGGATGTAGAACGGCGGCAGAGAAGTGTCGGTGCGCAGAAACAACGACGGGTCAGCAGTAGAGGGAGCAAACCCAAGAGCCGCAAGCGTAGTCCTGAGTGTGTCGTGCCACTCACGCGGTGCCTGGCGGAGACCGTAGACTGGCCGTCGGAGGCTCCACTGGGTGCCAAGAGGGAAAGTCCCAGTGAAGCCAGGTGGACGGCGCAGCCAGATCTCCTCGTGCAGGCTACCCTGCAAGAAAGCAGTGCTGAAGTCAAGAGAGTGGAGCTCGTAGTCGCGCTGAGCGGCTATGTGCAGCAGCACTCGAAGAGTGGTCATCTTCGGGGTGGGAGAGAAGGTCTGAAAGTAGTCAACTCCCTGCCGCTGCTTGAAGCCACGAGCCACGTACCGCGCCTTGAAGACAGGTGGAGAGCCCGGCGGCCGCTTCACCCTGAAGATCCACATGCCACTGTCGATGTTCGCCCCAAGAGGGGGAACCGCGTCAACGTAGGTGCCTGTGGACTTCCA